GATATGTATCATATTCACACAAATTAAACTGCAATGTATCCTATTGACACAATTTGATGTATCTCAATACAAAGTTGATGTATAATAATAGTAAATTTTCGATGACAATAGTACCTTCTTATGCTCAGTTGTTTTTGCAGTATGATGAGTATTTGCATCTGAGGATTGGAGTTCTAAAACATCCTTCATTTCTTGTTGATTCTTCAATGTATCATCAATCTGTGTTTTTAAAACAATTTTTTTAAAACAAATATGTTACTGATACGTTGTTTAATTTGATATACGCAATGAACAGAAAACTATTCTCTACACGAATAGAGTAACATAAACCTGATTTTCAACCTCAAAATACATTCACAACATGAAAAATCATTGATAAAATAATTTTATCCACAAAAAGATGAAACATTTATTGAGTCTACAAATATTTAAACTTTATAACTCAAAGAAGTTGGATACTTATTGTGAAAACATTCTTTTTGTATTTTGATTTGCTTTTCCTTCCGCATTCCAAAGAGACATCAAGATTATTTTAAGCCAAAAAAAAAAAAAAACAAGATTAGAGAAATATGAATTTGAAAAAATCTCACTAGTTCCTACTTTTTTTTAAACCTTTCTTAATATATATGTCCCCAAACGTTTGTGTCACAAGAAGGGACGTATCTAGAGGGGGTGTCGTGGGTTCACGTGGATCCATGCTTTTCTTTCTAGATCATATATAGAAGTGTTATATTTTTTAAAAAAATATTTAAATACAGATGTGTAAATCCACATTCAAAGTATCATATAATAATATAGTGTTGCTTGGGTGTACCTCTCTAAGTGAGGATAAAAATTCATACCTTATATCTATCTTGTCTTTTGGAGTTACACCTCTCCAAGCGATTATTGGTTACACTTGGCGTTTCAACTAATTTTTATTTTATTTTTTTCTTTGATCTTTCAAAAATTTTCAAGTGTGTTATATTGAAAAATTCCTAAATTTTTTAGCATTGTATAATTTTTATATAAGTAAATTAAATATGTATATTAAAATTTATAACTTGTAGTATTATATATTTTGGACCTGTAATTTTAAAAATTTAATGGCTCATATTAAGAACCTAAAAGTCAAACCGATCAAATTTATATTTAAGATGCATTTTTTCGTTATCCCATCTTATCGAAATCCCGAATACGCCTCTGAAAGCAAGACATTCATCTAGTACTGAACTATACTTAATTCCAACATTATGGTGAGAGCGATATAATCAAAACATTATGAAGTTTCAGTTTATATATAAGTCACTAATTATAAGAACACCCAAATCATAAGAAATGGTATTCTTTTACAAACTAAAACATTCATGTTCAAATTCAAAAAAACAAATTCAGAACCATCAAAAACCTTGAAGAGGAAATTGAATTTCTAGAAATAAAAAGAACATATGAATAGTGGTTATTAATCATAAATTCATTATCCATATTAATCGGGGACAGGAAAATTGACATTTAGCAACATATATAAGACTAGTAGTACCAAATCCCAAAATGTAACATTTCCATTTTTATTTTTTAAAATTTTCATGTCTGGGGTGTAATATATCGGAATACGCACACAAGAGGGGGGCTTGGTCTTACCTCCGAATATAACACAAGGATACAAATTTATCCTAAAAAAGAGGGCAGAACAAGCTATCTTAGACCGTCCAACCCTTGGAATATTATTTTAGAACATTTCCATTAAGATACACATATATGTATATAATATACGTCAGCAATATTATTTGTATGTATGATACTTGTATCTTCTGTTAATTATTGTTTTCAGAGGACTGGGTGAAGCCATAAGGTGACACCATAGTCAGCCTGCAAAACATACATAATCATAATGAGTTATGCTATATTTTTCGATTTTAGTATTACTTGTTTCTTTTATCGTAGTTATCGTATTATTCATTATATATTGCTACTATTCTCTTCTTCAAAATCTTCACTAATGTATTTGCTTTACATACTTGATTCTTTTTTTTTTTTAAATACACGTTTTACTTGAAATGAAAGTCTATCGAAAACAACTTCTATATCTTCACAAGATAGTGTTGTGTACACAACACCCCTAAAAATGTGTTTTGACTACTCAAATAGTATGGTGCCATATGGTGGTATGGAAGGAATAACACAATATTACCCTTGAGGTGTAGTGAGTTAGCTAGGCATGTAATACAATATTATTGTTCTAGGGTCGTTTGATATACAAATTAAATTATTTTGAGATTATCATCTTTGGATTAATTTATCTCGTTTCTCTTTATTCCATATGGGAGATGAGATAAAATAGCTTAGTACTATAAATCAAATACAATATAAATTTTATTTAAAATTTAATTCTGAGATATTTCATCTTATTCAGCATATAAAACGTGATTGCTTTTAAATAGTTTTGAGATTGAGAAAAGAATCTTTATGTGATGATAAAATGACTTCACCGTATTGCTCACCCAAATCATGTGAGCTCTGAGGTTTGTTTTCATTCGTGATGAAAATATATAGCACCAACTATGCTTCTCAATATTTCTAAATCCACATTTCCTATAGGGTGGTTCAAGGATTCATCAAAGCTTAATAAATCTTTTTTATAAATATATTAAAATATTTATTTGTAAATTCAATTATTATCGTATATAACCAAAAATTATTGAATCGATAAATTTTAAATTTTGATCTGCCACTGTACGAGAGACGAATATTTAGCTAAGTTAAAAGGCTTCATTTCCTTCGTATTTGAGTGTCCTAACAAGAGACGGCTATCTTCAATCTTATAGTTCAAAGAAATTTAGTACCAAATGAAAGACTTAAAAATTCTACTTCTTGAAGGAATTAATACATTGATATAACTAGAGCCGTCACAAGGGTTTAGCCCATGTGGCCGGTCCAATCCAATCCGTTATTTTGGTAGGGTTGGAATATGATTTTTCAAACTCATTTAAAACTAGGGCTTATAAGCCCTTGGCCCTTGAGGCTTGATTAAGGTCGACCCATCGGCCAAAACTTTTTATTTAAGGGCAAATTACAATAATCTCACTAGTATATAATCTAATTACTTAAATACACGTTATGTTGTAATATTATGAATCTTACCAGATTATGGTACGTCCAAATACATGTATTTTGAAATATATGGACTCAAAATTAGGTTAATTTATTCAAGATACACTTTATCCAAGTAGATTCACATGTATCTTGGATACATAGACAAATCTTGCACCCTCACCTCCCTCCCATCTTGCTTGTCACTCTCTTATCTCGCTCGCGTTTTTGGTATGCGAGATACATGCTATTTACACTAGATCTTTTGGTAGTGTTATTGAAACAGCACCATTGTTTGTCATATTTGATTTGAAAATCTTCTCATTTTCTTTGATGTTATAGAATTATAAGTTTAAAGAAAAAGAAAAAAAAAAGAAAGGGCTAGCCCGCTCCAGCCCTCGACCCTTCTAGGGTTGGGTTGGGTTGAGTATTCTCAGGCCCTACCAAATGAAGGGCCGACCCACCTTAGCCCTTCAAATTCCTTGGCCCGCGAGGCTTGGGTTGGGCCGGGCTAGACCAGCCCTTTTTGACAACTCTAGATATAACTCTTTTGAAGTCGTTTTGATTGGTGAAATGAGATAGATAAGAATATTTTATGAGATTATTTTATTCTATCTTTTAAATGAAATTATCAAATGTAGGATAAAATAATCCCATTGAATATTCAAAAATTATTATTCTTATCTCACCAACTAAACAAACATTTATTTAAACATGAGTTTTATGTATATATGGGAAGTCTGAAAGTTAGTTGAGTGTTTGCACGAGTAAAATGAGACTATGAAAAAAGTTAGGAATTTCTAGAGTTATGAACCCGGTGCAAGTAGAGAGTGCGCGTTGGAAAATGTGCTAATTATTCTAACTTGTTATTTTTATTTGTCTATTATTTTGAAAAAATCTTTTTGGTCAGAAAATTTAGCCATAATTTGGATAGAATGGTAAAAATAACATATTCACACTATAAACTAGTTTTTATTGGACATTTTCACCCTTTTAACTTTAATACTCTTTAATTAAAAATGAAAAAAAATCAATTTATTTTAAAATAAAAAAGATATTATAGACTTTTTACATTTCTGACCAAATTCTGGTCAAATTTTTCTGGCCATTTAACATTACTCATTTTGATAATATATTCATTTTGATTTATCATTTTTAATAGATACTTAATATTAATTATGTATTCTTCAAATCATATTTTGATATCTACTAACATCAATTAATAAGGGTAGCGTAATAAATAGTCAAGTTAATTATTATTTTCTTAATAGGTGTGTTAAGTCCAACAGTGACAAGTAATAGCGAACAGAGAGCGTATTATTTAAATATTATTTTAAAATCATATAAAAAATTTGGTTGATTTTTCAGATTTCATCCGTGTCACATGAATTGAAACAGAGAGAGTAACACATATTATCTGAACACATGAACAACAAAACTACTTGATTCAAATGGACACTCTTTATCATTGTGCCACAAATGTAGCTTTTATTTAGAGTATCCAATTTTAAATATATATCATTTAACAAAAGAATTTGACAATGTAATTTTCTGACAAAGGGTGCCCTGGACACCTTGGGGTGGCAATAAGTCAACAAAGAAGCCACCCCTGCCCCAATTACATGGCAGCACTAAAATAGTATTACTCATATAATAATTAACAACTTAAAATTAAAATATCATATAAATAAATTCCAATTAAAGAAAAACTTGATTTACTTTAAAATTTTCTAATGTGATATGCCAACATAAATTGAAACACAACTTTTATAAGCGTATTTTAAGGTTCATCCCCATTGAAGCACCATTAGTGGGAGGGTAGGGGCAATATTGGACCAAAAAAGTTTAGGACAAAACTATGCCAATCGCGGTATATTTGACCTTTTTCCCTTCAATAACAATGTATTGGCTCTAAGTGAGAAAAACTTATATGATCTGTAAATACAAGCAACATGACATTCACTAACAAACATGACAGTAACAGGAAGATTACATCTTATGAAAGCCAGAAGTTGTGTAAATAACATTTCTAGCACAAACGCATCCTTCATAATTCAATTGCCACAACACAAAATAACTAACAATATAAATGTTTTGACAGTACAAGTTCTTCGCATATACGTAATTTATAGAGGTAGAGAGGAGTCTGGTGATATCTTCAAGATTATCCCACAAATCGTAGCAATTTGACGAACCAATAAGATGGCGTCCAGCAAACTAGAAGCAGCACTCCTCCAAAAGACAGCAACAACAAAGAGTAGCCAAACTGCAGAAAACATCATTTTTAAGGAAACAGTATAAATAGATGAAATGTAAGCAATAGAAAATCAAAACCAAAAATACACACTCCTTTGTGTGTGTGTGTTTATCATGCTTTTCTTCGCATCTTTAATCAAGTAATGTATCACCTTATCACCGTCTAGTTTTTCCCTCTATTTCGCATGTGATATGCTCTATCTTTCTTAGCTAACCTGCCCTATTTATCTTATCATTTTTCTTCTATGTTTCGGCCTGTAACTCTCCCTCTTCCTTTCAACCATCCCCCATAAGCAAGAATTTCAACACATGTAAGAGACAGAGATGCAATAACACATAAGAGCATTGCATTAGCTTACGTAAATTCACCAAACTTATACTGCTTGCAAGGATTGCTCACTGGTTGAGATGTAACAAGTGGGAAAAAAATGATTTCGGCGGTTAAAACACGAAAATGCACTTGCATAACACCTCTTTGACTCTTTCTACCAAGGGCAACCTTAGAAACTCTCTGTAATGCAACAGAAAAAAGGAAAACAGAAGCTCCTTGCAGGTTCACAAAGACTTTATGAGCAGCAAAAGTGAAATGCAGCTTTAAGCCACAAGATGAAAGAATTTTAATTAGACTAGGACAGAAATAAAAACCTCTTGTGGTTTCACAAAATAACGAGGGGAAAAGCTCATTGGTGTTGTTAGCTACAAGATGAACAAATGGCTAACCGATTCATGTTCAAACATTGAATTGACCTTCTTCAAGTATATCCCAGGGCAAGTAAGAAACTCCAAGTATAGGCAATATAGTTGAAATCTGTGTAAGATGGTTCTCTAGGATGGCAACAATGGCCATCTTAATCAGCTCCAGAGGTTTTGGTCTAGTGTCAAGAGAGCAGCACCCAACTGTGGGTTAGGCGCATCTCACGAGGTCAAACTCTACATTGGACAAAAACCTAGTCTTTTCAGGGAAGAAGATAAGAGGAAGAAAGGTCCATTATCCTCTGAGTTTCAAACCGTGCACTAGCTGACACTTTGGAGATTCCTCGGTTATCAAAAAAAAAAAAAGATATCTTAATAAAGAAAAAACCAAAAGACTGTGTTAATCATGTTGAAGTGCTAAGCAGAAGATAGACAAGACAATGAGTTTTGCTAATAGGTTGGAGAATGTTTTCAACCAGAAAACTTGGCAAGAATCATGATGTGCAGCTTGTTATACCAAAGGTAAGACATAACCAAATCTTGTTGATCCAGTGAACTGATGGCAATGCTTACAAGAGGGACAAATAAGAGAGCTGAGTTCTTTGAATCTGCCTGCCTGAATGGTTTCATTCAGGTAGCACTATTCCTTTTACTGACTTGTCGAATTCATTTTCTATATGATAGTTGAAAAACATTAGAAAAGAACTACACATACGAAGAGATCCTTATTCTCTCAAAATTACCCTGTCTCCAATCGGCATTAGCCAGAACTAATCATAATGACGTCAGATGTAAGAAAACACATGCATAAATTATAAGGATATTCCAACAATTTTTTTACTCGCTATCAACTAAGAGTGGGCCGCAGAACTATGTTTTTGTACTCGTTACTAATACAGTTTGCCTAAAGCATTGTTTACTCAGAACAGTTATATGTTGCAAAAAAATGGCAGACTGTAAACAACACATGACAAGACAAAATTTAGGATAATATATCAAGGCACGCAAGTAAACAAAACCTTTCTACTTAAGCTCCTAACTAAAATCTCAACTAGGCATGATCCATTCAGATCCCAGCATGAACCAGTCCAGAATCCTCCACCGCAAAACAGAATCTAAGATAAGTGAATACAAATACACCAAAAGAAAAGAATGATTCTTCTGTTGTTAATAGGTTTATGATAAAGGATCTTTTCAATCTCACCATCCACCGTGTCATGTTACATGGGTTGATCAGCAATCTAAATTCCTCATGAGTACTCTTCAAACACACAAGTTCCCAAAAACATGAAAATTTGAGTTGCGTCGAATGTGATAGAATGTCTCTAACCAGGAAAAATGGAAAGAATGAATCTCACTCACTTTTTGCAACTAGCCATTCCAAAGGTGCTATACTAAAACCAAATCGTGATGTTCATATGAACTGATGGCTATGCTTATGACAATGGCAAACAAAAGAGATAGGTTCCTAGAGTCTGCTCCTTGAACAACTCATTCTGAAATCACTATGTTCATTATTTGTTTACTTATCGCATTCTTTTCTTATATGATAACTGAATAACATGATAGAACACTTCACACTGGAGAGAGATCCGTCTTCTCACCACCACTGTTCACCTAACGCACTTTTTTACTGAAAGCAATCTATGTGGCAAAAGAATCGCAGCATACAAACAACTCATGCAGAGACAAACACCAAGTTCTAAATGACTTAGAAGTGCACATACTTCAAAACTCAACCTAACCAATGATCATAAATGATGCAATATCCTCACTTATTATCCACTCTAGCTTGTCTTTCTGGTAATCTAGTGCCGGAGTCTAGAATAAGTTGCATTTTGGCCTCTCAACAAACAGGATAGGTATTCCACATTAATAGTATCCTCCCCACCTTCCAGCAAACTTCATCTTCACCCCCACCCCCCTCGTAGTCCTTATCCCACTACGCCACACCCTACCCTCCACTTTCACCTCTCTTAGTGTTTTCGTATTTGTCTAGATTATATACAAATACTTTTAGAATAATATTTTTCACTTGCGTACCAAACACAAGAAAATATGTAAGAAAACCACTTATTTTCCTAGAAAACATTTTCCATCATACCGAAGTCCGAATACACCCTAATATCCCAGACTTTACATTACATCATGAAATCGGCTAGTTGACCGCAACCTTCTTTCTCTATCCGAACTTAGGAACAAACATGTGAATAATCCCACACAACCCAGACACTAGTATTAATAACTAAAACTCAAAACACATAGTTAGAAAAAGCAAGATAACATACCATCCTCTTAGAAATGAAGAACATCCATCGTCATTACGATAATAGCCACCACCATCATGATACATATGCTGAGGTGGTGGTGGTGGGGGATACTGATCATTAAAATACCCCTGATAACCCTGAGGCCCAGGAGGTGGTGGTGGAGGATACCCTCCATTATAAAACCCCGGTGGCGGTGGCATCCCCTGCCCCGGGTACCCTTGTGGTTGCGGTGGCGGTGGCGGTCCATACCCTAAAAAATAAAATTGTCAATTCAAAACACAAATTAAGTTCAATCACACAACAATCAATTAAAATCAATCCCCTAATAATAGTTGCGTAGACTCTCTACTTTCGATTCTTAAAAAAAATACACATTTTTTTAAGAATCCGACACGAACTCATCGATGATTGATTGGAAAATAGGGAAAGAATTGTTACCTGGTGGAGGGTAGTCAGGGTAAGGACCTTCATGAACATGTTGATAACTCATTGTGATTTGAATGAAAATAAATGAATAGAGGGGTAGGCAGATGAGCTAAATAAAGGGATGTTAATACTTAGGCGGTAAGGCACAGGTCAGGTGAGAAGATGAATTGAAACAAATAAATTTTAGAAAGAGGATATAAATATGATAGTCATTCACGTGTTAGCAAACAGAGACAGTACTTTCCGTGATCATCATGATCCATCAGGTAGTTTAGCGTAGGCATAATTAGGGGTGTCAAATGGGCAGGTTAGGTTGAAATAGAAATTAGGTTGAGTCTTGACTCGTTTAAGTTTAGTTTAGGTTTAAATAGGCTAAAAAATGGGTTGGATTTTGACCCGCTCAATTTGATTCTATTAATCTCAATAATTTTAACCTAGTGATATTTAATTTTTATAATCACAATGCGAATTTCAGCTCAAGATTTTTTTTTAAAAAGTAACAAATGGATATATAAATCCTAAATGATGTTAAATAGATAATAATTCATATCTTTAATATAGGAGCATATTTTAGTAAAGAGTTTTAAAACGGGTTGAAATTGGAGATTAAATTGGGCTCAATTGAGGATTCTCTTAAAATGGGTTAGGCTTGAATGAGTTGAGATTGAACCCAATTCAAACTATCTTGAGTCCAACCCTTAAAATTTTAGGCGGGTTGGGCGGGTTATCTATGTTTGGGTTCATTTTGACACCCCTAGGCATAATACATAAATATGTTCTTTAACTTTAAGTTATATTTATGCCCTTCAATTTTGGGTGTACACAAGTAGTCACTTAAACTTGTATAAAGTTGAATAAATAGACACACATGTCCTACATGTCATTTTTTTGTCCTACGTGTATTGTGTTGTGTAGAACTCATGTGTCTACTTGTTCAATTGTATACAAGTTTAAGTGTCTATTTGTATGTCCCAAAGTTTGAGGGCATAAATGTGAAATGAAGTCAAGTTTTAAGGGCACATTTATGTATTGTGCCTTTAGTTTAATAGTATTTGTGGGTCAAACCGTTTATGTTTGATCGAGAATTTGCATATATGAAAAATTTATGGTTAAAAATAGACTTGTTGAATTTCAAAATCTAAAATATGTCATTGGGATATAGGGAGTATTATTTTTAGTAATTTTTCATTTATTTGTTTATATGAATATTAAAATCATAAGATTAAAGAATATATTTTTTGGTATATTATATATTTTTAATTTAAGATTATAAGATTTTAATAAATATTATTTTTAAAATTTCATATAAAATCAGAAATAAAGGAAAGAATTAAAACGTGGAGTATATGATTGATTACCCCTTGATCTTAATTTATATGTTTTTTTTTTGTGGGGAGGGGGGGGGGGGGAGTGGATTTTCAAAATGTATGCCCAATATTATTACATCACGTTACTTGATATATAATATTGTTTTTTCTTAATCTCAATAACGTAATTACCATTTATTTTGGTACTATAACATTTAAGGAAATTTTTTTAAAGAATTTTCTTTTTAAATGGATTAAAAGAAAAAAAAAAGAGAGGAAATATCTAAAACCACATCGAGGAGAAGATGGTATAAAACAGTTTCCATAATCACAAGGCTATAGTTACAACTTACATTAAAATCTGAAAATGAAATCGTTTTTATAGTATCGTGAAGCTTACATCGTTAAATTAAATTGACACTATTGACATTATTGATGAAGTTGAAATTTAGGTTTGATAAATTGAAATAATTTTCAACTTTGTATTATTCCAATTCTTGGGAATATTTTGATAATCTTATATCTTGAGCTTGGGAGGATTTGGTGCTCATTTGATGAAGTTTTGGATCGAATATTATACTTCAAAGTTTCATGTGTTACTTGTATGTCATAAACATCTTAGGTGTATATCATATATGTCACGTGTATATTATATGTATATCACTTGTATGTTATGTTTAATATTGATACACGTGATATACATAAAATATATACAAGATACGTACATGATATACGATGATATTAATATAACATACATGATTATCTTCTTCAATTTTTTATACCATGATTAATTTGGATAGTTCTAGATCCACCCAATCCTCATAGTACTCCTCCAAGTTATTTCTAAACAGATTGAGTAACGCCCCCATTGATTTTCAATACAAAATTTTAGTTTAATTGAAACCTATTTTGATGCTTCAACTTGACAATGGAGAAATCAAATATATTTTCTCAAATTCAACTTCCCAATTAAAAACATCAAGTAGAATCAATTCTATAATAGATTTCTCACTTAATTAATTGAAGTTGGCCAAAAAGATAGAGATTGCTTGATAAAATTAACAATACGAGAAGGATTAAAGTCAAGTTGTCTCTATCATACACTGACACACATTTTCTATTATGTGCTTCTTGTACGGATCCAAATAACTCTCGTAAATAAAAATAATGACTTAAATCATCCACGACCTCTTACACTATGTTTGGATCATTGTTACCTATTGTTTCATAATGTATTGTATTGTATTGTACTCTATTGTATTGTATTGTATGGTAGATACAATATTTGGCTAGACTGTATTGTTTGTTGTTGTTTAATAACATTTTTATTGTTTGGTTTGACTGTATCGTATTGTATTGTAATTTATAAATTTACTAAAATATCCTTAATTATTCTAGGGTAGGAGGTTTGACTAGAATTAAATAATATAGGGTAAAAGGTAAAAAAGTATTATGAAATATTATGCCATGATATAGTTGGAAAAATAAATTAAGTAACAATGGGAACACACCAAATCGGTTGTTCCATAAAATGAGAGTTTTCATTGTTACGTAACAACGATATTTAATAATACAATACAATACATTTTAAGTAACAATCAAAACAAACATTGTAGGTATGGTAACGGTACAATACAATACAATGGGCAACAATGATCCAAACAAAGTGTTAAAGTTATCCACATATTTTACTTGGACATCTCAACTAGGATTTGTACCTATTAAATACTTTATTTGTTCAAAAATCATTCATATTAAACATAAAATGCAGACATGGCAAAAAAAAATTTACCCCCACATTCCTTCAGCGCGTAAACCAATTAAAAATAATATTTTCCTTTTTTATTTTCCCACTTATACGCTTAAATTATTTTTTTTAAAAAAGGAAAGTCCATCTTCTTCCCAGCTCAATGTTCCTCTGCAACCATCTTCGATGCCTCTCTTTTTATTTTTATTTTTATAAAATCATAGTATAAATCTATTAAAGAATGATTTCAGTTTAAAGTTGAAGACAACAGAAACACTAAATTTGGAAAATTAGCTCTATGCTGGGCATTTGTTAATGCTGAAATATGTGTTAGGGTTTTGCCCTGATTTTCTTATCATAATTTACGATTCATTTTTTCTTAAAGAAAAAATAAAACATTATCATAAATGGTTTTACTTTTCTTGAAAGGAAAATATAATAATATTTTATATTTGGTTTATTCTCTCCTTTAGGACTCCTTTTCTAGTAAGAAAATGTTTTAGGACTCTATAAATATAGGTTTGTTTTCTTCTAACACAAAACAATAACATCCACAATGTAGTCGTTTAAGACTTTTGTTTATGGGGAGATTTATTTTCTCTAAAGTTTCAATGTTTTTCTTTATATTAGTTTTGATATAATAATATTTTGATTTTTAGTATAAGTTTTTGTTATCTAATTTATCAACCATATGATTTGCAAATTGTAATCTTCCGCATGACGCTCAATCAACCTTCATAATCCAACAAGTGGTATCAGAGCACATGGTCCATCGATCCCATGGTCCTAGGTCCTATGGTTCAATGAGGTTGAAGAAAGGCTCAAGATGGTTTCAAATCAATTTGTAATCAACGTGATGATAATGAAGTTTTTTGTGCTACTACATGTGGAGAAAAATTCAAATATATTTTCAACAATATCCTACTGCTCCATCGTTTAAAACAAAATCAATTTTCAACTCATGCTTATTTTAGAGCATGGGCTCCAACTTTCAACCCCTGCAAACTTTAATGCTCGGGCTCCACTTTTAACTCATGTATCTTTACTTTTAACGCATGAGTTTCACTTTTAACTCATGCATCTTATTTTTAACGCATGAGCTCCACTTTCAACTCATGCATATTACTTTTAACGCATGAGCTCCACTTTCAATCTCGTTCATCACTTTTAACACAGGGCTCCAATTTTAACCCATATCAATTTTTAAATCATGGTAAACAGCAGTGATACATGAAGATTGTGTGAAGAAAGAGGATCAAGATTATGATGCAAGAAAATTCAAGCCAAAAGGGGAGATTTGTTAGGGTTTTGCCCTGATTTTCTTACCACAATTTAAGATTTATTTTTCCTTAAAGAAAATAAAACATTACCATAAATGGTTTTACTTTTCTTGAAAGGAAAATATAATATTATTTTATATTTGGTTTATTCTCTCCTTTAGGACTCCTTTTCTAGTAAGAAAAAGTTTTAGGACTCTATAAATATAGGTTTGTTTTCTTCTAACACAAAACAATAACATCCACAATGTAGTCGTTTAAGACTTTTGTTTATGGGGAGATTTATTTTCTCTAAAGTTTCAATGTTTTTCTTTATATTAGTTTTGAAATAATAATATTTGGATTTTTAGTACAAGTTTTTGTTATCTGATTTATCAACTATATGATTTGCAAATTGTAATCTTCCGCATGACGCTCAATCAACCTTCATAACCCAACAATATGCATTACAATTTTCTATTGTTTAGCGCAACAAAATCCACAATTAAGCAATAAAATTGTACAAACATTATTATATAGATCTAAATTTTAAAGATTTTAGCAAATCTCTATTGTTTCCGATGAAAATAATATAAATTGATTATTTTTTCTGGCAAAAATCGTTATTGTTGTTTATATACTTATGATAATAACTGATTATTAGTGGGAAGAAAATAAAGGCAATGGGTGGTAAGGTTCAATGCTAAAGAATAAAGAGGCAAGAGTATGGTTTACTGATGGTGCGGCCCGCTGCCACCGGTGAAAGGATCAAAAGAAGAAGAGGGGTGGGGTGGGTTGATTCAAAATAAATTTTTGATTTTTAAAAAATTCTTTTTGAATGATTTAAATAGAGATTAAAGAAATTGAATTCAATTGTCACGTGTCATTATTTAATTGGTCCATCAATTATGTATTTGTGTTTGAGACACACACTTTTGTGTGTTAAATAAGTATAAATTTGTTAAATTATAAGTGTTCAGTAGGTACAAATCTAAGTTAAAGTGTCTAACTGAAATATGAAGACAAATTTAAAAGGCCGCATATTACTTAAGCCAAAAATAATTTTAGCCCAAAACTCCGAAGGTATAGATGCTACATCTATCCTCTTCTACGTTCTTACAAAACGAAAAAGTCTTTTATATTGAGTAATAAGTTGGAAATGGTTTACCAACAAACTATCATTTATTAGTTTCTCAAACTAATAAGTGATAGTTTAGGTATGAAACTTATACTCTCAATAGTTTAGGTATGAAACTCAAAAAAATGAGATAATTTAGATGTGTTTTTTGACACTTAATTCTCTTTTTAAAAGTGCTTCCAAAAGTAAGTCATTTTTAGCAGTAATGTCAAATATGCTCTAAATCCTATGTATTACTAATACCTCCAAATTGAAGGTATTAGTAATACATAATATAATACCAAGTAGGGTGTATAACTAATCCATGGATTAGTTATACATATGCTTGAATTTCTACCAAACATGGTACTAAATAATACCATACATATTACATGGATTATTTCTCATAATACTCCATATCCAAACGACCTCTAAATATAATAATGCACAATTCAAAATATTTAATTGTTATATGAAAAAATAACGATCAAAGATATACTATATCAAAAATAATTTTGAACGCAATTAACATTTTTTTGTAAATGTCCTTAAAGTCTATAAAGACATTAGATCCAATGTCAATCAATTAATGCTTGTAAATGTTTTAACCCTCTTTATTAATATTCATATTTATTACCGTTAAAAAATGATTTTGTTGTAGTGATAGACTTATTAAAATTTTGAAATCCAAAAGATGTCACTAAATTTTATTTCAAAATATTTGAAAATTTCATACTAAATTTACAATCAAACTTAATTGTTCGATTCTCAAAATTTAAATTATATCACATAAATTAAAACAACGAAATATTAGGAAACGTCGCAAGTATGAGTCATTTCTTAACATAGTAGACTACCCCCCCAAAAAAAAAAAAAAAAACTGCAAGTTTGAATCCAGTGATCAACATTTGACCGTTCCTTATTTTTTTTCCTGAATTAATTACATGCAAAAAAAAAAATGAATTCGTCTTAATCAATACTTTCAATGTGAACATAATTTCCGTATCAAAATTCACTAAAATTATACTTTTTTCGTCCCCTTTTAGTTGTAATGGTTATTTATAATATTTTTTCTATAGTTTTTGAATATCTAAATTTTTAATTTAAATATTGAATTAATGTAATCTAGTTTAACTTTGAAAATTAGTCAAATTGATTTTCAAAAAGCGCAACATGACAACTAAAAGAAGACTGCGGAAATAAGAAAATTATTTATTTGTTATTGCTACTAATCTTCTCTCCATTATTTTCAGCGTAACTTCCTCACTACTATATTTTTTTTATATATATGCATTACTTAGGCCAATGACCCACTAGAAATAACTTTATTTTCTACCTTAAAGATATGAATAAGACTGATTCATATGCTATTTTTTTCAAACCTCACTTATCACTTGTGATAATACTACTTTGAATATGTTGTTATACAACTTAAATCTTGGATCTTCCCATGCTAATTAAATCAATATTAAAGATGTTAAAAATAAAATTTGTACACTTAAATCTTGGATCTCCCCATACTTTGAGTTTGATGTACTCCAGCTAAATCTGCTTTGATTTGCAATATAATCTTCTCAGCAAAAATGATTTTGAATCTAGTGATCACCATTTGACCATTGCTTATTTTATGGTTCAATTTGTAAAAACAAATAGGTGCATATATTAGCTTTGTATATTTTTTCAACTTGTTATACATTAATTTTGGTATTATAATATGTATAGCTAATACATGAAATATTATTGTATTAGAAATGTAAAACATTTTAATGTTGTATTAACATAATTAAACAAATAATTTTATTTAGAAATTATGCAATTCATGTTATTTACACTACATAAGAAATAATATTAGTATAACTAATTTTAACCACTTATTCTTATGCAACCCATCAAACGATCCACAAGTGTACTTGTTTGATGTATTTTCCCATGGACATTTGTAGGTAAGGGTGTTAAATGGACGGGTTGGGTTGAAATGAGAGATATTAGAATGAGTTGAAATAGAAATTGGGTTGGGTCTTGACCCACCCAAGTTTACTTTGGGCTAAAAATCAGGTTGGGTCATGACTCGCCCAATTTGACTCGCTTAATCTCAATAATTTTAATATATTGTTATTTAACTTTTATAACTACAATTTGAATTTCAACTCAAGAATTTTTTTAAAAAAAATTATAAATGGATAGATAAAATCCTAAAAGATATAAGATAGATAGAAACTCATACCTTCAATACTAACATAACTACCGTAAGAATAGAATGGAAGGGGGTAAAAAAGGATTCTATGCTCAGACATGAAAGGAACATACATTACATCAATGCAAATAAATAATTTTAAAACAGGATAAATTTGAGATTAAATTGGGCTCAATTGAGGATTCTCTTAAAATGAGTTAAAGACTGACTTGAAATTGAATAATTTTTAGTCCGATCCTTAAAATTTTGAACGAGTTAAACGGATTACCTATATTTAGTAGGCATTTGGCCATGCGATACCATATCACGATATGGTATCGTGAGATGGAATCAGCGTTTGGATATGCAATTTTACGCTGATTCCATCTCCCGATTCCATATCATTAGATGTGATTCCATATTCTCCAAAAACCATGATATGAAATTATATGAGAATTCCATATCATGATTTGAGATATTTTAATACAAAAATTGATCCACGAGTTTATATTTTGTTAAAACAACCCCACATTTATATCTACTAACCATTTATTTCATATGTACATAAAATTTATAATCACATCATTACTTTTTAAAATTTATTATTATCACCAACATAAAATTTATTATTCTCATCAACATATAGTCACTTTAACTCACACCAATCGATTGTTGAGTAATAAATTTATTTTATGGCCTTAATAAGTGCACATTTATATTTTATGCTTAAGTTATTAGTATTTAGTTACATATTTCCTATCAACTTTGTTTAAAGAGATTAATATTTAATTTATGACTTTGCATTGTCTTGGAAGCACTATTTTTACTACTCTTACAAACATTATTTTTATGAAGTGCATTCTATAATGCTTCCAATTTATTTTATGCTCACTAAACTAATATTGATGTATTTTTTATTTGATAGGATTGTGTTAGTGCGATTGATGGAACATATATAGAAAGGGAGGTTCCTAAAACGGTGCAACAAGCATATCGTAATCACAAAGGAAGAACATCACAAAATGTCTTATGTGCTTGTGATTTTGATATGCGATTTACCTTAGTTGCTGCTGGTTGGGAAGGTACTGCACATGATAGTAAAGTACTTGAGAATGCACTTGTTGAACCAACATCGCAATTTTCATTTCCGTCATATGGTAACTTTAAATTACATCCTTAGAATAAATATTATTTATTTACACAAAGCTGTCTCATTTATGTCACATATGCTTTTAGTAATTCTTTATAAAATGTTTGTTGGTAGATAAATATTATGTTGTTGATGCTTGTTTTCGAAACACAAAAAGATTTTTAGCTCCATACAAAGGACTACGCTATTATTTGCAAGATTACCGAGGAAGTGAAAGAGAGCCTCAAAATCCCAAAGAATTGTTTAATTATAGGCATTCATCTCTGCGCAATGTGATTGAACGAACTTTTGGAGCTTGGAAAAATAGATTTTGAATACTAAAACAAAGCATGAACCGTTATGATATTGATATACAAGTGAAAATTGTCATAGCTTGTGCAGTGTTACATAATTATTTGCGAGAATATCAAAGTACTGATGAAATATTTATGGTCTATGAGCATGAAAATATAATTGCGGATGATATTGATCAACAAATGGCTCAAAGTAACAATGTTGGTTCGTCTTCTCGGTCACATGATCGAGAAATGCAAGTTCAACGTGAGAAAATTGTCCATACTATGTGGGAGGATTATATTAAAGACTGGTACACTACAATTTATGTTCAATTTTTTTTTATTAAATTAAAGTTAGATGAAACAATTACTTGAGTAGAGAACAAATAGTTTTGTAATAATTTATTATGCGATTTTATAAATTTTTGTTTATTTGATAAGATTGAATAAACAATTGGGGTTATTTTAATAGTTTTACAACTTATGAGATTTTTATGTTTATAAGAAAATATACAACACAAAAATTTCATATCGCATGTCCAAATAAAACTTCAATTTCATCTCATGATTCCATATCATTATACCATATCATGATTCCATATCATGATATCATATCATGATATGGCCAAATGGGCCCTAGACTCATTTTTCACACCCCTATTTATAGCTATTCGAACTTACATAACGTGAAGAATACTTGTCGTCCGAGCAACTTCCTTGAATCAAATCTTAGCTTCAATTTACAGCATACTAATATAATCAAGCAAAAAGAAAACGCGTTGGCGTTTTACAGAATATACTTATCCTTTACATAAAATTCATTTTTCCCATTCTACTAATTAAAGCAGATTCTCAGCACAATATTTAAAACTTTTTTCTTCTATCAAATCTCAAAAACCAGTAAAACCCTCTGTTCCTTCATCACCATATTCATATGGATCAGCAAAAATTGGGCACCCATATCATGAGTCCTCCATCAGTCCCAAATCACAACAAAAAAGCTCATGATCAAGAAAAGAGACATGATTTTCAAACTCAACAACCTTACCTTGTGTATTCCCCTGTTGTTAAGCCTAACAACAATCCAATTGACTCTGTTTCTCATGTCTTCAATTCTTGGACTAACAAAGCTGACACTATCGCCCGTAACGTCTGGCGTAACTGTGAGTTCTAAAATATTTATACTATCAGCGTATATTACTTAAACTCTTTAATTATATCCTTTAACATTGGTTGGTAAGAGAGTTTGTTGTATTCATTTAATTGATAGATGCAAAGAATTTACGCGATATTTTTGTGATCAATAGTTGTGTGGGAAGTGTTTTTGCCTCTTATCATTAAATCTATGGGGATTCGGTGAACCCAGTAATTTTGATCCAAATTCTATATTTATCTTATAAATATGTATAAACTCTTTTAATTTAGAACCATAAACTATAATTCTTAATCTATATAAACTTCAAATCTTAGTTCCGCATCTGAATTTATTTAGACTAGATAGTCTTGTGCTAACTTGAAGATTTGAATTTTTGAAATTTGAAGTTGTTTGAGTGGATGTATCAAAAATTGGTCTGAGCTTGTTCAGACCAGTTTTTGAAAACTTGCAAATATTTGAAGATCAAATTGTCAAAATCTATATAAATTTCATGGCCAAACATATATTTGAAAATAAGTTTTCAAAATTCTTGTTATGATAAAAAAGCTAGCTTTTTCTAGTGTTTTAGTCATCTTTCACTAGTTTTTTTTAACGAAGTGCAAGGAATTGCCCTATTAAGTAATGGAAAGTGGGGATAGCCCATAAATTCTTTTGTCATTGCTCCTCTCTAACAAGGGTGAGACTTAAATCGCAGAATTATTCTAAACGAAAAGTTTAAATTATAAGGATAAAAGGATAGCTCAATGCACAAAATATCCCGCGTTAACAAAATTCAGAGAAAGGCCACACATCCTACCCTAATGCCAACATTAGTGGCCGCACTACAACAAAAACTACCTTTAGCGGTAATAAATTAACACATTAATAAAAAGTGATAAAACATTTATCGACATTAGTTAATTGTCATTGGATCCGGTGTCGCTATAGGCTTTAGGGACATTTACAAAGAGTGTTAAATGCTGCTAAAATTACATTTTTAGTGGCAATTAGATTATTGTTGTATATTAATTGACTCTAAAGATTTTTTTGATGTAGTCCCAATTCCACATACAAATTTTAATTTATTTAATTATATATCTCTTATTATCAACTGCTAATGATTTTTTATTTGTGTTTCATTTTGTAGTGAAAACTGGTCCATCAGTATCAGAAGCAGCATGTGGTAAACTTAAATTGACAGCCAAGGCATTGACAGAAGGTGGATTTGAACCACTTTACAAGCAGATTTTTGCAACAGATCCAAATGAGCAGTTGAAGAAGACATTTGCTTGTTATCTTTCTACAATAACTGGTCCTGTTGCTGGAACTCTTTATTTGTCATCAACCAAAGTGGCTTTTTGTAGTGATCGTCCCTTATCTTTTCGAGCTCCATCGGGACACGAAGCTTGGAGCTATTATAAGGTAATTTTAATACTTTAGTCTTCTGTTACCTAATAGAAAAATTCCATCAAGATAGATCGAGTTGATGACTTATACTTCAATTAAAGGGGCAAGGGTGTAGTGAAGTACATTTTGTAGCGAGATAGATGACCCAAAGTTGATGATCTTTGTCTTTTGCTAGTAAAGGGGAAAATCCTTTATATCTTGTTAGTCGGGTCTAATTAAGGACCTTTACTAATATAATAGAAGGTAAGACTGGCTTTCGTGCAACTGTTGTGTTGTTGCTTCTTTGCCTAGTGGAAACCTCTGCTCTTTAGTTGATTGGTGAATAAGTGAATTTAGTACTGAACAATAAAGAAATATAAGAACATGATTGTTGACAACTTCCATAATTGCTTGAGAGGCTACCACCTTGCATTCCAACCAATTTCTTGGTTTGGTCGGAAAAGTCGTGGGAGATGCAGGCTAAGTAAAATAATATATTGGATTAATTATAGAGTCTTATGAATCAAGCATGACGTAGTTTCTATTAGCTCACTATATCAAGACGAACAAGTATAAGCAATTCGTGATTAGCGATAACCTCAAGTTTTTTTAAAAAAAAAGTAAAACTCTATCGCTTTAAACAAAATCTCCCTCTTTGACTACAAAAAATATAACTATCGAAACTCTTTTAACTTGTCTACTTTGAAAAATGTTACTTAACTTATACCACTTGTAAGTGATGGCTATTAGTGAGGGAAAATGAATTTGAGAAGGAAAAATTATAAACATGAGAGTATTATAAGTGAAATTGCAATTAACCTTTTTTTTTAAAAATTAGCTACAACATTCGTCACTAATTTGTCGCTAAATAGCTCATAGCTAACTTGAGTGTCTATGTAGGTGGCAATACCATTGGCAAACATTGGAAGTGTCAATCCAGTAGTGATGAGAGAAAATCCATCAGAAAGGTACATTCAAATTGTGACAATAGATGGTCATGACTTTTGGTTCATGGGATTGATTAATTTTGAAAAAGCAAAGCATCATGTCCTAGAGACTTTATCACATTTTAGAGGTCAACCTTATGGTGGATACTGAAATGTATGCCTATTTGTTTTGTTCCTCTATGTATTTGGAAGAGATATAATTAATGTATCATTACTAGTATGTTTCTGGTCCATGTTAGTTATCGTGTTTCTCTTTTACACGTTTTTTTTTTTATTAATAAAAAGGGTATTTTGATTAAAATACCCTTGACTTGGTCAAAGGACATCACTGTCTTTTTGAAAGCTTGTTCAATTCTTCTTTTAGGATATTGAGACTTATATTTAATTCTAGTGATTGTTTTAGCCTATGATTAGGTTTAGCAATTGAAGCTCAAAAAGATTGACATTGTAGGGCAAATTTCATCTATAATCAACAATTTACTAGAAGGTAAATATCCTCTTCCTTATTTCACGCTTTATAATATATCGATTCATAATTTTTTTGAGATACCCAAATTACGTATATTTTTATTCTTGATAATAGTCGACGAGGATTCAATTTTTTCATCGAAAAACAAAATCTAAAACAAAAGTGTTATTCGATTCTTAAAGGATTATTGGATCCAAATTTGAGGATTTCATAAATTTCAACTTCTCTTCCTTCTTTTTCTCTCTTTGATTGCATGTATATGTGAGAGTTAGTATGGTTGGAATAGGTTGAAAATGAATATACAAGATTATATACAAATTTTGAGAAAGATTAAAAGTGATTTGGACTTATTTCAAGTTAAATATCAAACTTATAAAATGGCTTTGTGAGATCACACTGTATATTCTATATATCACCCACAAACTTCCCATTGATTTGCACCGGTATACATGATAGATAGGAGTGATATACATAATTATACATGAGATACAAAACACTTGTTAAATGAAAATTTGAGATCTTGTTTTATGAGCTTGGTTATGTAAATAGCTTAATCCAAAGGTGTTTCCACCAATTCAACTTAAGTTTCCATGGTTAGATGTTGAATTTAGGTGAGATATTTTATTACTCAGCTATTGTGTGTGAGCTGTTTATTTTAAGAATAAGCTGGACCAACCAACGATACCTATTTCCGTTATAAGCAAGAAAAAGAAGTGCATGATCTCGTGAATTACTTCTATATAAGTTCATAAATTATATGTAAAAACCATAGCATTTCTCGATTCATAGATAAATCGATTTTAATTATCTATTAACAATCATGTGGAACTATTAACATCCTTAAAGATGGTGAAATAGAGAAAGGGTGTTGGGGAAACGATTTTGTTGGACCTAAGATTTAGGACCCGTTTGGCCCCAAGAATACTTGGAAAAAACTTGAGAAAAACTTGGGAAAAACTTGGGAAGTGGTGTTTCGTCATATAACTTGACAAATAAAATAAAATAAAATCAAATATATTAATTTTTTAAAATTTAGAATCAAATTAAACCAAATTTAAATCATATAAAAGTTAATTTATTTAATTCGATTTTCGGTTTTAATCCGTTTTTAACCACACGCACTTTCCCTTTCTTATTTGAGCTATTTATTTATATATTTATAAAAATTTCTTTATTTAAAATGTGTGACCTTTTCCGTTATTGTTCCTATAAGAGATCTATTCATCTTAGCCATCTTTTTTTTTAGTGATTTAGTTGTTCTTCCTATTTAATTCACAACTTTATTAAATGCTATCTTGTTGATGTTATTTATATTTAAATAGTAAATTAAAAATGAAAGAAAAAAAATGCTTGTACGCATATTTGATTTTTAAAAACTCAATTGGTTCTACTGTATCTAAATTTACTACTAAAAAGGATATTTCTTTTTTAAAATATCCTATCTATGTAAGCGGGAATAGAAGAACAAGTCAGATTTATCCCGACAACAACATAGGAGGGCGATAATCCAAGTAGTACCAAAATCGATTAAAAATTCAAATTTTCAACTTAGCTCAGTAATCATTCAAAACTTTGAACTATACATTTACTTTTAATCAAAGTACTTTTCCCTTGCTCAGTTGCTCTAACCCCCACAAGGTAGGTCTAAAAGTGTCCAAAAATAATAATATTAATAAAATATGAAAAATTCCTGACAAAATGTCATATAAAATTAAAAGAACGTTTATCTAGATTATTAAGAGTGTAGAATAGAACACTTGAATAATGACAAAATATAATAGTTGGAATTAACAAAAAAGTATAAAAGTGATTCAATGAAATAACAGAAGATTCGAAGAGGAGACAGAAACAAGAACATGCTTCTTTCATAAAGGAAACAAACATGCACTGAAAGATTCCCTTTAAGAGAGGAATGTGTATGGAGAAAAGTTTAAATTAATAAAAAGATGAGGTCAAAGAAGATGTGAATTAGACTATAAATTTTAAAAGTCTTTCTAATCACATAAATATTAAATTATTAGCCATGACATGTTTTAATGCCAAAAAATTCAGAAATTTTTATTTCTTAAATTCGGTGTAGATTCAAGTTATGTCTCATAAATTGAAATATATTGAATATCTTTTTATGTGTTCTTGAACACATTTAACTCTTTGAATAAGCTTTTCGAATTGAGTTAAGTTCTAAGGTTTTTGTTTATTTTTATTTGGTATTAGAGTCAGATATCTTTGTGTCACACTTTTCACTCTATAATTGTCATGATCCAAAGTCGGATTCCAAACTCATAAGTTGTGATGATACCTATGTTTCAAACCGATAGGTAAGCCAATCTAAATATCTTACCAATTCAAGTTAATATAATAAGAGAAAGGTAAGTGACAAACATAATATCTCAAGAATAAGTCTTTTAAAAAGAAATGCGGAAAAACTGATGTACCACCCAAGATTTGATGTCATAAGTATAAGAGCTTCTAAAATACGGTGCAAGCCTGAAACTAAAGTGACCAGTCTAAATGTAAGAAATATCTTGTCTGAATACTAGAACAATATAATAAATAACAAGATAGAGGGAGGTGTTGGGTTCGAAAGTAATCAGGACGTTATGCTGAAACTTACAATTGCAAATGATATGACGATAAATTAGACAACACATAAAACTATACTAATAGAAATATATATTATTATATGATATGGCCAACTGACCTACATAATTAAAAACAAAAAGCATAATTAAAAGCATAAAAATTGTAGAAAGAAAGTCTCTCCATAAACAAAACTCTTAAATGTCTACATTGTGAATTATATTGTGTTTATGGTATGAGAAGAGGAGTCTTCAATTTATAGAGTTCCATACATTTCTTCTAAGGAAAGAATAACCAAATATGGAAGAGAATTATATTTTTCTTTAAGTAAAAATTAAAACATCTATGGTAATTCTTTAGAAAAAATTACAGAAATCCCACATTTTAGTTTACTTATTACCATTACCCCTATAAGTTTTACAAATCTCCAAAATCCTTCATTTTCGCGCATCAGATTAGTGTATCAGCGCTTATATTATTGTATCTCGCGCATCAGATTAATGTATCAACACTTATATTATTGTATCTCGCGCATCAGATTAATATATCAACGCTTATATTATTGTATCTCGTGCATGTATCATCGCTTATATTATTGTATCTCGCGCATCAGATTAATGTATCAATGTTTATATTATTGTATCCGTTTGAGGGATTTCTATAATTATAAACTTTTAAGGAATATATTGTAATTTTGCCTTAAAAGTATGTGATTTCTGTAATTTGCCCAATTCTTTAACTTTCCTTCAAAAGAAAAATAAAACTCAAACATGGTAGGAAAATCAAGGCAAAACCCTAACAAATCTCCTCTTTTGGTTGGATTTTCTTGACAAAATAATTTTGCTCCTTTTTCTCCACACAATCTTCATGTATCACTGCTGCTTACCATGATTTAAAAAATTGATATGGATTGAAAATTGGAGTTGTAACACCCCGCTACTAGAAAGACTTAGAATTAGAAAGAAACCGTTTTTGGAAATAATCAAATTTGGAATTGACAATGTTAAGCTAAGTATGAGTTTTGAGTCAACTTCAAATGACCATAACTCCTAGCTCAGGATGAGTTAGGTGTTCTACAAGATACTGTAGGAAAGATCTTTGAATTATCTTTCCAACGCCACCTAGTTTGATCAATTTCAAGTTTGTATGAGGGAGATATGCCCATTTGAAGTTAGACCGTCTAGATAAGGAAAGTCAAAGCCGGATTTTAGAAGGGTATTATGGTTTTTTCATTACCCAATTAATTAAATTCATTTTTGGTAATTAAGTTGGGGTCTAAATTGATTGGATTCAGTTTACGCTTTATCAAAATAAGTTAGGATTTTGAGAGAGGAGAAAAGAGAAGAAGAAGCAATGAATCGCCAAGTTCTTGAAGTTTTGCTTGAGGATTCCGCCAAGGGTTGATCCCTACGAGGTATGTGAGATCACATAGCGTTAGGTATGTTCACTCACGCGCCAATCATGATTTTATTCAGTGAAATTATGTTCTTGAAAGTATAGAAATTGAGTTCTCAATGGATTTGTTTGAAGTTTCTATTGGGTTCTTGATTGTTGAAGTTGTTGAGAAGTTCTTGATTTAAATTCATGAAATTAGATGTTGTTTTGAGTAGATTCTTGCATATTTTGGTTATGTAGTCGAATCTAAGTGTTTGGGGAAAGAACCAATTGAATTTAGAGGGTTTAGAGTTGAAAAATGAGCAAGAAAAATCGAAAGATTCTAGGGAAAAGGGGTGGAGCGCCGCGCCAGCCAGAGCACCCCACAAAGTTTTCTGTAGTTGGGGCTCTGGGGCGCCGCGCCAGCCAGTGTGCCCCAACTCCAGTTCTGTAGTTTTGCCTCTAGCGCCCCGCGCCACTCAGAGCGCCAGGGACGCCAGGTCTTCTACTTTTTCCCACTTCTTTCCGTACGAGTTCCCTTGCAACGTACCTATGTTTTCTAGTTGACTTCTACACTCTAAGGTACGTTTAAACATCATCATGAGATCATGAGCCTTGAATCCATAATTCAATTCAAGCAAAGTTAAGAGTCAAGTCAAGAGAAGTTCATAAGAGTTTTTCAAAAGTCTATTACAAATGTTTTAACTTTGTTTTAAGACTTGAGTTTTGAGTTGAGTAAAGAGTAAAGATTGAAGTTCATTTTTTCAAAAGAGTATATGGGGACTATGTATTCCCAA